CCTCCTGCTCTCCTGTCCTCCTCCTGCTCCCCTGTCCTCCTTCTGCTTTTTTTCCCTCTGTTTTATCTTCCGAAACTAAAACTACCGGTACTATCATGGATCTGGTCAGCTGGACTTTCCATGCAACCGATAAATTCTTTTCAACAAAGCGACAGGGTCCTGGAGAACCCTCATGTCCCGCTGAGGCGCACACAGCAGGATACGTCATGGATCCGTGGGGAGCTTGGGAGCTGATGTGTCTTTCTGCATGTCTCAGGAGGATGCCGAAGACGTTTAAATAAAGGTTTTTAAATAAAGGTTGAGTGAATACGTATCACTGTTTATATGTGTCATTTTTCACCACTTTTATTGTCTGTCCAAACAGATCTCACTTGTAAATGAGTCTTCGAGGCTCAATGTGACTTATCTGTTTAAATAAAGGTTGAGCGAATTTATATACAAAGTAATTGGAACCATGATAGCAGGGTTTCTGATTTATGGCATCGGCGGATTCCCATGTTATCGGCTATTAAAGAGGACGGCGGCAGCAGTTTCTGCCATGGCAAAGCTGCCGAGTCTGTGTGAAGGTTTGGTTTGTGCTTTGTGCACTCAAAATCAGCTGATTTATGAGCCATAAGATGGAAGCGATTTGTGAGAATTGCAGGAAACTTGCATCTTCTGGGACTCTCCAGCATGTTGGAGATGATCTTGGAGGGTGCTCATAAGCAAGGATCAGTGGAATGCCCACAAATCTGGGCATTTTGTATCGAAAATACCAGCAGGACTCAGCAGGATGAGAAAAAAAACAATCTGCCTGAAAAACAATCAGCAATTGTGGCTTATCTGAATCTGACTCCCCCGTTTGGCCTCAAAGCAGGACGACTTATCAAATTTCTCCTGGGATATGTATAAACTAAGGAAAAGCTATGTTTATCCCCCCCCCCGCCCCTCCCCCCCCCGAGAACTTCTGTGAAGGCTTATCAGAGCTGTCCCGGCTGTGGACTATCTGGAAGTGCTTCATGGACAAATCTCACCGTCTTGTTGTCAAATGAATATGTAATGTGTCTATAAATGTGCTGCTGGTAAAGTTTTTGATGTCTTAAATCGTGTCCTGATAGGACAAGGTATGAAGAGATATTTTTTGTAACACCACTATCCTATCCTCATGGCCTTTCCTCTTTTCTATCTACAAAGTATTCTGAAAAAGGATAAGGGGCTGCATCTTTCGGACGACTGTACAAACATAATCTCACTGTATCTCGGTGCAATGATAATAAAGCTTATTCTGATTCTGGGGTTTGGCCTGAGCATAATGAACACTAGATGGGTCAGTTAGCAGGTTTAGACCTCTAACTGCACTTTAGTAAAACTCTTACGTGGGAGTTTTAAAGGCCTCCCAGAGGGCAGCAGCATGAAAAGATGACCGGGGTGTGATATGTTTTTGGCTGTTTGCTGCACAGTGACAAAGGCACCAAGCTCCGCAGTTGTTTTGCTGGAAGCCAATGATTGTGCTGCTGTGATTACTCTGCAGGGCCTTCTTGTCAGCTGCCCTGCAGCTAACAAACTTCACCCATCTGCCACGAGTCAGGATGTTTTCAGCACAACCGGGGTAGGAAGAGACAAGCAGTCGATGTTACAAGTCAAGATTGTTTCAAATGTCTGAAGGAAAACAGGTGCTGCTGGACTTCTCTCACGAGGGCTGTGATGTTTCCTTGTGAGGTCCTCTGTGTTGGACTGGATGTGAAATGTGCCGAGGATTACCAGCCAAAGGAGACATCTGTGTGACATTTACGTACATCTAAAGAGATTAGACGTATGCCGCCACCAGCTAGATGCTTAAAAAAAACAATTTAGCATTTAGAAATAGACAAACGTGACTGAAAAATGTGACCTTTTTAATTTAATTAAGAATAATGCTTCAGGACTGTTTCTTTGCTTTTATCATCTGCGGTTTATTTATTATCCTATTTATTTCAGATAACTATTAAATCCATCTCTATTTTTTCTCTCTCACTTTAATTTACATGCCCTGCTTGTTGCTCTTAACATTTTGCTTTTTACATCTCCCCGAGGGAGAACATACATTTTAATTTGAAGATGCATACATTTATCACTTTCTCTTTGTGAGCTTTGACTTAATCCCATTTATGCTTTTCCTTTAGGTGATTACCTTTCATCTAATCAGAACTAAACAACCTTGCTGAAGGTCTATATTAACCCAACAACTGCATTAATTAAAAAAAGGCTCAGAACTGCTGAAAAACAGAGCTTAATGTTAGAACTGGGGTCTGCAACATGTGGCTCGTTGGTTCCGCTGCAGCGGCTCCAAGTTTTGACCAAAACTAACATAAAACTGAAGTTTATTGTTTGTTGTACCAACAACAAGAAATAGCTAATTTTTAGTAATTTTTATTGCCAACATGTGAATGATACTGACACAAAGAGTAAAACTTGTTGACTACATCATGCTAGTAGTTTGTTAGCCACTTCTTTTAGCTCACGTCCAGTCTAACAGTGTGATCTGTTTCTCAAATCCACCAAATGTTTGGGGGGGAAATAACTTTAAGGCAAGTTGCTGAGAAGAAATCTGGTGAGCCAATTTGATAAGAATAAAAATCAAAGAAAAAAGACAAAGTCAAAGTAAACAGAAGTATTTATTCTCATTTTAAAATTCAATTACATATCAACAGACTGCCTGATTTTTAACTTTATGCTTTATTATTTCATAATAGAATACTTTATGAATTGTTTCCACAATTACAAAGAAAACGTACATAAGCCTGTATCCTTCTGTTTGAATTTTTATAAAATTGGTAAAAACTATATATTTTTTCTTCTTTACATAAATCAGTTTATTTTCTTTTGCCCTCAAATATTAAAATATAAATAAATACTAATAATTGGTTATTTTAATTTAATAAAATCACATCTAATATCCGGAAAAGCCCCCTCCAACAGGCTTGAAGTGAGCTATGGGCCACCACTTGAAAATCAAATTCAATTAAATTCAAAAATACTTTATTAATCCCAAAGGGAAATTAAATGTTGTGGTAGCTCGTCATCCTGGTTTCATTAAAGTTGTTATAGATTCTGACGTCTGTGGGCAGGAAGGATCTCTTGTAGCCGTCCGTCTTAGAGCAGAAACTGGCTGCAGATGTTGATCTAGCTACTTGAACTTGATCAATTTCTCAGTCTTCTTGGGCAGCAGGACCACCTGAATCTTGGGCAGAACTCCTCCCTGAGCGACGGTTACTCCTCCCAGCAGCGTGTTGAGCTTCTCGTCATTGTAAAAGCACACCAAAGCACTTTGGTGTGCTTTGTCACTGTTTAAAGTGCTTTATAAATAAATTGGTATGGTATTGTGGACAACCAGCTGCAGGTGTCGGGGATGATCCTGGTCTTCTTGTAGTCACGAGCCACGTTTCCCACCAGCTCTAGGATATCGGCGGTCAGGTACTCAAACACCCCCGCCAGGTAGACGTGGATGCAACCATGGCACCTCTTTTTTTTTTTTTTTTTTTTTTTTTTTTTTTTTTTTTTTTTTTTTTTCAACTCATTTGTGATTTGGGGCTGTAGCTGAGGTCTTATTTGAGCTTTTGAGATGTTAATCAACTGCTCCCAATGGTAAAAACCACCTTGTTGGCATGGTTACGCATCATAACAAATGTCTGAATCACCATCACAGTATTAGCAGGTTTTGCAGCTCCATAGATATTTTATTTTGCATGCAAAGAGGCAGAAATGGCTCATTTGAGGTTGCAGACCTCTGTAACAGGCCCTCTGAGCACCTGACAGTATCCAATTTAAAAAATGTTTTTTCTGACCAGTGCCTTTATGGAAGTCTAAAAACCTCTTGTTGCTTCCTTATTTTATTGTCAAATAGCTTGATAACACCCCCCCCCCCCCCCACTAGATGTCCCTCATCCCAGTAAGAAATGTCCGGTGGGTAAAATAATGAAAACTGTGTGAAAAGCAGAACAGCCTGCATTTCACCAACTTCTAATTATCCATCCATCCATCCATTATCTTTTATCCACTTCTTCCATTTTGGGTCACGGGGGTTGCTGGTGCCCATGTCTGGCAATCACTGTGCGAGGGGCAGGTGACACCCTGGGCAGGTTGCAAGTCCATCACAGGGCCACACAGAGACAAATGAGACACTCACTCACACCTAGAGACAATTTATAGTTACCAATCAGCCTAACATGCATGTTTTTGGTCTGTGGGAGGAAACTGGAGTACCGGGAGAAAACCCACGCATGCACAGAGAGAACATGCAAACTCCACCCAGAAAGGCCCCCGGACCGGGATTTGAACCGGGAACCTGCTCGCTGAGAGGCAGCAGCTCTACGAGTTGCACCACCATGCTTACCAACTTCTAATTAATGAATCATAGTTTTGCAAAGACTCTCTGCAGCTGTGCCAATCAGAGTTCGTTAATATTCCGTGTACAGCAACATTTTAAATGTCTCAGAAAAAAAAGAATATTCCCAGAATAATAAGCTGAGTTTAGTGTCTAAACTGTGAGCTTTGAACTCAACAAGTTTTATGAGCAGTAAAACAGCATGCACTGTCCTAAAAGCCTGACTGTAGCTTTAACAGTGAATTTACCTTTGGGTAGGGGAAGATAATGTTGGAGGGATAGATGCCACCCAGGAAGTGAGGTAGCTCCATCACAGGTGTAGCAGAGTTGTTGATGCGGAGGTAAGCCAGCCTGGCACCGTCCAGAGACCACCAATGGGCAGCATATGTCAAAAGCACCTCCTCTGGTTTTAAATACAGACATTTTGTTTTGTAGGTGTAGGCCTGCTTTTACTGCTCAGAGTTGCCAACTGCCTGAGAGAAGAACTGGGCACGCTCCTACCTTCATAAATCCAGTCAGACAGTCCATTCACCACATTCTGCTCCTGGTTGGTGGACGTGAGGCGCAGGGCTTTGCTCATCACGCTGGGCTTGTAGTAGATATCTCCATCAAACACGTACGCCTGGCACATGGAGACAGACATTAACCAATCTATTGTCAGAGACAGCAAGGTTGCAGACTTCACAGCTGGCTGCCTGATTTAAGCAGGGAACGCCATCCAAGTATGAATGAATCATTGGCCCGCTCAGACGCTGCTGAGAGCCAATACATCTCTACTTGCCAGTTAATATGGTGCAGATGAGCACTGACATGGGAGCAAAAGCCAATTACATTACAGCAGAGGCAGATGAGTAATAATATTGCTATAAAACAATCCTGTTATATGATACAGCCGCTGCATATGGAGTTTATTGCTAAAATGACATTGTAGTGATGCTGTTTTTATTATGAAAGTTGTGTCAAATAGAAAATTCTCTGGTAAGGAGGCAAATAAAGTTCCTAATCATGTTTGCTGACGAAGATGACTACAAGTTTTTCTCCTGAACAAGTGAATGCCTTGCTTACCAGCTGGTTCCCCTGAGGTCCCCAGGAAGCGTACTGCAGTTCTGTCTTCTCCCCTTCAGGAGGCTGAAGCTCCAGCAGATCCCTTTAACACACACACAAAACCTCAGACATAACACCACCAAGTCAGAGACCACCGTCCCGCCTGAAGCCCTCTGAAGCCTGTCCGTAAGCCCGCTGTTGGAATAGCAGCTGTGGTGACAGGACAAAAGAGCACGATGCAGAGAGGGAAGACGGAGAACGGGTCTGGCTCATGCAGGAGTGCAACATTTCTGTTCCCCATATTTAAATCCTGCAGGCAAACACAATTCTTCCAAGTCAGACACTGATCGATGCTGCGGGTCATCTGGACATCCTTCCCAAATCATTTTCTGGACGCTCCTCTGAGCATCCAAAGCCACCACAGATACATTTTTCTCCACTGACAATGCTTAAAATGATCTCAGGCAGTGACGCTGAAAGTGCAGTACTGCACAAAGCTCGCAGTACGTTGGGTTATGGAACCTGGAGAGAACACTGATGAATGCATGTTGGAGGACAACACGAAGGTCAGACGCAGTAAGATGCACTTTGGGGGACTTTAGTTTTCAGTCTACAGTTCTGCTTGCATTGGTAACGCTCATGCCCAGTGCATCTCATGCAGTAGCTCTTGCAGTTCCACCTACCCATTAGCCACAGTGTAGATAGCATAGGAGGCTGTGAAGGACTGAGAAAACACCTGAAAGAGGTAGAGGATACCATGCACAGAGGCGTGTCACACAGAGATGAAAACACACAGGAAGTTTAGATCACACACGCACATGCACCAACAGTTGTTGCAAAAGTATTAACCCCCTGTCGTGACATTCTGCTGCCTGACGAGCTGGAATTTAAAATGATTTTAAGTTTGTTTAAAAGCGCTGGACCTACACAAAAGCTCTAGGTTAGTGAAGATGAATGGGGAAAGAACTTGTTTAACATAATTCTAATATATATATGAAAATAAAAAAATGTGTGTGCATATGTTCTCATCACCTTTTTCAGCAGTTACAGCATCAAGTCACGTCTCCATGAACTTGGTCCGACCGAACACTGGAAATTTTGTCCATTCTTTTTCACCAAACTGCAGCTGCTCAGTTTGAGAAGCTCAGTTGGATTAAAATCTGGACCACTTTAGAACATTTACGAGTTTGTTCTGAAACCACTGGAGTGTAGCTTCAGCGGTGTGTCCTGTTCGAACGTGAACCTCAATCCCAGTCCCAAATCTCTAGAAGATTCAAAGTTCCTCTCAAAACTTTCTCTGTGTTTTGCTCCATCCACATTTCCTTTAACTCTGACCAGTTTCAAAGTATCTGCTGTTAAAACAAAACATCAAGCATGATGCTGCCACCACCGTGCTTCACTGTAGGGTGTTCTCAGCATGATGAGAGGTGGTAGGCCTACCTCAGACATGCTGTCCTTGTGGCCTAAAAGTATCATTTTAGTCTCATCTGACCACACAACCTTCTTCTATGTTGTGTGAATGACGCTGGATGATTACTGAGCATGAACTTTGGTGTTTTGAACCACTTTGGCATGGCTGCCTCAGAGGAGTTGATGGGGGAGTGGGCAGGCCCAGGAGGCCATCTTATCACCAGCAAACTGTTTTTTTTTCCACTCTGGGAGTGTGCTGCTTGTGGGACTCAGTTTGCTGGTGACTCCTCAGATTGAAGAAATCCTTTGGATGAAGAACGAAACATCTCAGCAAAAAAAGAAACCGTCCAGATGACCTGACTGAACATTGTTGGATTTTTACCTGGATTATTGAGCGTGAACTTTGGTGTCTTCTTCTATGTGCTTGGGGGTTTTAAATAAGCATTTTGCCAAAATCCAAATGATCTACTCTTCCTCTCTTTCTTTAAGCAACACCTTTTCCTGCAGCTTCCATGAAGCCCAGCTCTGTGCAGCTTATCCAATGGACAGATCCTCTCATCTCTGCAGAAGAGCTGCTCGGCTCCATCAGAGTGATCTTTGGCGTCCTGAATGTTTCTCTGATCAATGCATGCTCTGCACAGTCTGTGAGTTTTGGTGGATGACCCTCTCTCAGCAGGTTGGCTGTAGTGGTTTGATCTTTCCACTTTCTAAAAATAGGATTTAATGGAGCTCTATGGGATGTTCGAGGCTTGGGATATTTTAAAGCCAACCCTGATCTGTACTTCTGTGCAACTTTGTGTTTGACCTGTGTAGAGTTCCTTGGTCTTCATATTGCCTCTTGTTTGATGGTGGTTCTTACTACTTAAAGGTGTTGATTCTGAAGTCAATCAGAGCAGCTGTTCATAAACAGACTACAGCAGTTCCTCGTTTATAGCAGTGGATCTGTACCTTGAAGCCCCGCAACAAGTGAAAAACCGCGAAGTAGGAATAGTAGTACAAGTAGAAAGTCGTAGTTTATTTAATTATTTATGTTTTAATTATTAATTAATTAATTATTAATATAAAGATATAAGGCATTTTAAACCCTGCCCACACTCTTGCAATGTTCTAAACAATGTTTCTAAACTGTAAACACGCTAAAAGAGCACAGAATGTCATGATTTCAACTCTCTGCCTCCTCTGCTCTTTGCCATCTGCAAGCCTAGCCCTCTTGGCCACGCCCACTTCTCCGCTCTGCATGGAGAACAGCTGATCAGCTGCAGCAGGAAGTTTATCCTGCAGTATGGGCTGCACAAAAGTGCAGCAGGTGATAAACAATTTAAAATAAATTATTTTAAATGAAAATCCATGCTGATCATGCGGCTCATCTATCAATCAGCCAATTGTGTGTCATGTCAAATCTTATTTTGAAACACCGCGATAGATCGAGTCCGTAATAAACGAACCGTGAAGTAGTGAGGGACTACTGTATTTGACTTTCATCATAACAAAGGCAGTGAATTTATACGCATGCACCATTTTTTAGTTTTATATTTTACAGAATATTTTTAATCAGTTTTTTTTTTTTTTACTTCATTAATCTAAAGTGTTTGTCTGGATTTATGACTTATAACCAAATAAAAATATCTATTTAAATTTCAGGTTGAATATCGAGGGGGTGAACAGTTTTGCAACCCACTGCAGCCACATATAAAAGCTGTGACGGTCAGTTGTACAACAAAGTTGTGTGCAACAAGACTTTAGTGTTTGTGTTCTTTCTTTAGGAGTTTTTTTTTTTAACCACAGCAAAGAACCTTAAACGGTCTGTTGCCTTAAACACAGAAAAAACAATTATTCTACAAAATTAGAAAAGCAAATGTTCACTGATTCCACTTTTGTGAAATTGGTTTCTCCCAGCTAAGAGAAATATTAGCAGCAGAGTCTCTTCTTGTAATTGTCTGCATTTGAGCGGTCACTGTTTTAATATTGCTTTGGCTGTTATCCTAAGACAATCACATCCTCTTCATGCTTAACTTGTCATTAAACTGCTTGCAGCACTTTCATTCATATTTCATCATTACTGTGATCGCAAGTGGGTAAAAAGAAACTTGTATGGCTGAAACCAAGAAAAATGAAGACACAACATGTGAAATAAATGCGCAAGAATGGAGACACATTCTTATTACGGGTAATATCCGTTTCCTTGAGCTCTGCTGTGGCTGGCAGCTCTGACACAAGCAGGAGCAGCTCTGATTGAATTAACATGCTGAAAAAGAGCTCTAAGAGACCAGAATCAATGACTGCGTGTGTCTGTGTGTGAGTGTATGTGTGTGTGTGTTAATTGCAACTGATCAAAGCCAATGAACTCAAGGTAATGTATTGATTTCTACCATTTTCACTGTTTTTCAAGCAAAGGGTTCGAGGCAGCGAATCTGCCCACTGGCCTCGGCGAAAGCCCCACCACTTGGAAAAAACCAGCCCCTACAGAAATTAAATGTCACATCCTCTATGCAGCACACTTAGCAGTGAAATTGGATTTTTCTTCAGTGTTGTTTGTCTGTTGTTAGAAAATGCACGGCCGGGATGGCGACGGCAAAGGGCTGCAGGGGGAAAAGAGGGGGGGAATAAATTCTGAGGCTGCCTAAATGAAACTGAGAGCTGATTGTGTTGTAAAGTCTGAGCGCGAGGAGCAAAAGTGCAAAGAAGAAAAAGAACCGTTTCACAAGAACAGCAGAAAGAGGAAATAAAAATAAAGGCCTAGCACTTCTTGAAGGGATCACCTGCTGCCTTAACACCAGAGTTTTAGACTATTGACTTATGATGAGCAATGATGGAGTTGAAACAATTTTGGTCAAACCTCAGAAATAAAATTTTGTGCCATCTCATAATACCTCTCATGAGCTGATCGTGCTTGGAGTCTGATCTGAACGACTCTCAGCTACAATCGACTCAACTCGATATCCGTAGAACTCACTAAGGTACAGACTAGTTTGTACTGGCCAAGGTCAATTAACTCTGCTAGCCCTCTTGAGATGCCTGGCTCTAATATGGGTTGGTAATCGATTCAAGATGTACATCCAATAATTAGTTTCTGAGAGTTCCACTGAAATATGTCCAGTGCTTTCAGAGATATTTTGCCAACAGGGCTGACTCCAACAGGTAAAGCCAAAGTTTAAAGCTAAGATGCTGTGTCAGCTCAGATTTTGTGTTAGGGACACTGCTCAGCTACTACCACACCCATTTCTGGCTCAGTTTCTGTAATATTGGCTGCATTAAAGCCATTTTTGTGTTTCCTGAGGTCAGCTGGCTGTGGCAGCCATCTTAAAATACTACTGGCTCTACAGGTTAATACGATGTATCCAATTAATATTTCCTAAAGGTTTCATTTAAATCTGACCAGTAATTCATGAGATGTTTTGCTAACAGATAGCTGATGCCAAAAAGTTAAAGGAAAACTTTAAGCAAAGGTGTTGCTCAGTCTTTTAGCACTCTGAATATGTGTTGGGGCTCATTCTCAGCTACTACCACACTATACTTTGGATAATTATCTGTAGAATTTACAGACATTGTTTTAATTTTTTTCTACTTCAGCTGGATGTGATACCAATCTTCAAAATTTAATCAGTTGTCAGTAGTCCCTCGTTTATCGCGGGGGATCTGTACCGTGAAGCCCCGCAATAAGTGAAAAACCGCGAAGTAGGAATAGTAGTACAAGTAGTAAGTCGTAGTTTATTTAATTATTTATATATTAATTATTAATTAATTAATTATTAATATAAAAATATAAGGCATTTTGAACCCTTCCCACACTCTTGAAATATTCTAAACAATGTTTCTAAACGCTCTAAAAAAAAAGCACAGAATGTCATGATTTCAGCTCCCTGCCTCCTCTGCTCTCAGCCACCTGCAAGCGCTCTTGGCCACGCCCACTTCTTCGTTCTGCATGGGGAACAGCTGATCAGCTGCAGCAGGAAGTTTATCCTGCAGTGTGGGCTGCACAAAGGTTCAGCAGGTGATAAATAATTTAAAACAATTTATTTTAAATAACATATCCATGCCGATCGTGCGGCTCATCCATCAGTCAACCAATTGTGTGTCATGTCCATCTTATTTTGAAAAATCGCAATAGAGCGAGTCCGCAATAAACGAACCACGAATTAGCGAGGGACTACTGTAGATGAAATGTCCAATATTAACTTTCAGCAGGTTTAATAAAATCTTCCAGTGATTCATAAGATATTTTGTTAACAGACAGACACACTGGCATGGGCACAGATATTGGCACCCACTTTTGCGCCTCTGCAGTGTGCGAACATAAAAAGTGAGGGACGGGGACACAGGAAGAAGACAGGAAGTTACAGGACACATCCTTCTTGGAGATGAAACGACGCAGCGTTGCCATCAGCACCGCGTTCCTCAGCTATTAGCGATTTGTTCAGGAACCCAGCAATTGTGCTCGTAATTCAACATTGCGACGCCTTTGGCGGTCTTATTGTTGTTGCATGTGTGAGTCTGTGTGATAAACAGAAAGGAAGGCTGGGAGCATCTGTCTTGGAGAGGCAGAGTGAATTCTAATGTGACTGCCAGAAACAGATCATAAATCCTCCAGTTCTCTGCCTGCCACACCTCTCTTTTTTATTATTACCCACATCCAATCTGCTGCCAAAACAGAGGAGGGGGGCACTAGAGAAAGATTAAACACTCAGAAGATAGTGTGGGATAATGTGACAAAGTATATGTCTAAAGATTACAACGAGCTTTCAGCGAGCCAAGATATTTTGAGCTATTGTTCACCTCACAATGTGGGGATAATAGCATCACTCCTGCCTCACATCTACAGCAGCCGTGCACGGTTCTGCTTTTACACGAGCGCCCATCAGAGTTTGCAGCAGGCTGCAGACATAACCCCCATGGCGTTTTATTTGTCCCCAAATAACACTATCTTGGCAGGCTCCGGTGCAGCTCCTTCTGCGCATCAATCCTGAAAAACGTCTGCTGAAACGTTTCACCACCACAGAAATGTCTGTTCTCGTTTCGTTCACTCCTCCGTTGGAAACAAGCGTGCCTAATTCAAACGAGTTTTTAGGCGAGACAGTTTCCTGTGGGACCTCTGCTTTCTTTTGTGTCAGAATCCCCAAATATTTCTATGCAACCCATTCTATCAAAATCCATTTATTCTCACCCAGCAGCCCCCACAAAAAGCCTCCTGAGCTAATACAAAACCCAGTGAAGCCTTTTCACTTTACCCGTAGCCCGCTCATCCATTTCTCCTCCTCGCAGCTCCATTCTGACACTCTCATGATCATTCCAATTGATTTCAACTGGGCAGTGTATCTAAGGGCAAGCGGCGCATATCCCATTTATCACCCACCACCACCCTGAGTGGCTCTCGGTTGTTCTCTGGCGTTTTTCTGCCACTCTCTGAGCAAGCATGCTGCTCCTCTCCTGAAGTCGAGGCTCGGCACAAACTGCTTCAGTCAGCACAAATCCCCCCCAGAGATAGATAGAAGAAAGTGAGGGAAATGAAAGAGGGGGAAGACGGAGAGACAGCTACAAAGGAAGAGGCGGGGAGGGATGGAGGAGCAGCCTCCACACACAAACAAACAAACCTAAAACCTGAACAAACACGGACTTTCAGGTGGTATCCTCACTATCTCCAGTTTATTTCTGTTCTGATGCTCTGAGCTTAGAGAAGAGCCGAAACGATCCCCGCTGATATCAAAGGAACTATGCTAATGACGAGCTATAAATTAACCAACGGGGACCCAAACTGGCCAAGGATCTGAGCCCTTCCTCCTCAGAGATGTGTGTGGAAAACAGATGGGATGTATGCACACCGTTCAATAATTCAGCTGCTGTGTTTGTGATGGATGCTGTAGCGCGGCAACAGGCTCGTTCGTTTCCCCACACGCAGACAAAATATGATACGCAGTGATTAGAGGAGAAGCAGGTCTCCCAAAGAAACCCAGAGAGACAGAGGAGCTGCACGAATGAGAGCAGCAAAATCCGCTTGCAGATTTTTAATAAAAGTGTGTGTGTGTAGGGGTGGGGGTGAGTTGGGAACCTTCATTTTCTCCTAATTTGGTTTCCCTCCATGGAAGATTACTTGCACATTATCCAGCTTGCCTTTATGGAAAAGAGTCCCAACAATGCAGGTGTTTTGCTGAGTGAAATCATACAGGTGGAGAGTGGAAGTGTTAAAATAAAGACTGTTTTGTTGTCTTATCTGAAACCACCTGCAGTTGTGATTCTCTGCAAGCTCTCATTAAAATTCCCCACAGAATGTACAGGGCGATTTCATTACTGCAGCTTCAAGTTCGCCTCTTCATCTCCCTGATCTCCTTCTTTGCAGCTCTCACTTCACAGCAAATCTCTCCATCTGAGCTTCCCTCCACCCGCCGCACCTTCTGCAACAAGCCAGTTTAAATATTCAGCTCCTCATATGTTATCCTGGTCGTTCAGCAGCCGAGACTGCTGCAGCAGGAGCAGAGCTTACACACAAACATCCTCCTTTCTGCCGCCGCTTCTCTCTCTGTTGTCTCAGTGATAAAAATTGCATGTCGCTTTTGTTTAACAGCCACAAGTGGCCTGTCAGACGTGTGGAGGAGCTTTGTTAGTGCTGATAATATTCGAGGAAGATTAATGGCTGTGGGTGCGTTCTGAAGGTGAAGTGTATCTGTTCTTAATATGAAACTTACCGGTCGGACGTTGTACGCCAACAGCACAAACTTCTTGTCTGCCGACACTTGGAATTTAGTCGAGGTCAGGTCCTGCAGAAAAAGTCAGTGTCAGCAGAAATACTGTAACAATTCCTGCATTTCACTTTCTAACTCTACTACACCAGGAAATACAAAAGAGAGCTGGAAAATGTCCTTCAAGTATAGAATTTACCAGACTAGAAATTACATTTACTGGATGCAGAAAGATTTTTCAGTGCAAAACGTGAAAATATAAGATTGGTTTTCGTTGTGCATTAATGTAAAAAACTGGTTCATTTGGAAGGTTCTTATAGAAAAAAACAGATCTTTTCCATTGTATTCATTTAACAAGTTTCTAAAAGCTGTAAAATGCTCCTACAGTTGCAGTCAAAAGTTTACATCCACTCACCATATTCATTTAGGCTTTTAACTATTTCTTTAAACATAAATCTTCTAAAGTGAAAAGAGCATACAACATGCAGCGTGATTTTAAAAATAAGAATTGAGTGCACAGGCTCACATATATAAACATGTTCAGCTAAATGTTTATTTAGTGGTGCTGAAGGGGGAAAGGGTTAAAGTGTGAAAATGTGATGAAAATGAGTTGTAAAAAAGTCTGCAGTTTGTTGCTCACAGAACTTAAAAGTTGTATCTTACTGGGCTGCAACTGCTGAAGAGAAATTTTGGCTGTTTGCAACCAGGTAAATAGTAAATGGACTGTACTCATATAGAACCTTTTGATCTTATCAAGATATTCAAAGCTCTTGACAACACAATCTCATTTACCCATTCATACAGCACTCTACTAGATCTCTACAAAGAATAATCAGAGCTTTATCACATTCATACACCGATGGGACACACATAAGAGGTAATGAGGGGTTCTGTGTCTTGCCCAAGGACACTTCAACATGTGACTGCTGGTGGAATCGAACCTCCAACTCCTGCATTGGAGGACGACTGCTCTAACCACTCAGCCACAGCCGCCCCACCAGGTGATCAGCAAGTTGTGTGGTGAGTCTGTTTTTAAAATCACCATTTATTTTTGTGTGTACAGCTTGCAGAACGGTGTTTATGGTTTACACAGGTTCAAATAGCCTGTGACAACTTTGACTATTTTAGTGGGGGAAAAATCAGTTGCGTAGTTTTATTGATCATGTTCAAAACTCAAGCAACAAGACTCTGAGCCTCTGCGACTCACTTTAAGAAATTAGGTACCCTTGCAAATGTTTTGAGACATTTTGGAGCCTCCCTCACAAATACCAGTCACCAACTAGTCTCCATCTACCACAGCCCAGTGCATCTGTTAGGTCATTGGTGTAATTTGGTTACATTGATTCTGCAGCTATTTTTGCATGCCACTGTCTCATTTACACACCTATTGACTCAAAGTTTAAAGCTACATTGGTTATATATACAGCTCTTGATTTAAGTTAAATACTCCTGGACTTAATTCTTTTTTTTTTTTATTATAAATTCAAGAGACAACATTGCCTTATAAGGTAATTTAATTAGGCATATTTCTTCTGGTATTTATGTTTTAATAGGATTGAAAACAGCAGCCAGAAAAGAGTCGACGATCCAAATCTGAACAAGGATGAGACTTTCCAACCTGACGATACAATCCTGCTCTGAACACGCCTGCAATGACCCACATAAGTCTGTCAGTGTCGCACAGAGGCGTGTTCAAAATGATGCTCTTGCAAAAGAGAAAAAAACTCTCTGTAAAGGCGCGTGTTGGGGGCTCAGGAGAGTCAGACTGGGGAGAAAATGCATTGATAGTGTCATTATACTGCCAATTTGTCTTCTGCAAGAACAGTGCAGCTCTGCTCAGCATCTGTCTCTCAATCATCATGAGCATTGCTTCTCCGTCGATCTGTTTATGCATTCTGTGTGTGTGTGCGTGTGTGGGTGTGTGTGTGTGATCAGTGATGGAATCTGTCGTACCAGCGAGCTGTTGTCCAGCAGAGTTGTGGTCGTGTTGTTGTTGAGGCTGACCGTCAGGACGTGTCCCTCTCGGGTGCGCAGAGCCACTTCATTCTCTAACAGGATTAAAACAGTTTAGAAAAATAATTAAAATCTTGTCTTATTACAATAAAGGCTTAAATCCACAGAGACTGAGACACGATCTGAGCTATTACGTTTCAATCCTTTCAAACGATGTTAGTCAGCTGTCTGTCGGTCAGATTAGTGATTCAGAACATGATTCCTCACCGTCTAACCACATCACACGAGGATCGTGAATTTTGAAGTCGTCACTCTCCAGATCCTCCATGGTCACATAGGAGTGAAGTAACAAGTGGGACTCGTCTTTGAAGGCAGAGAGGCAGAGATTTCAACAAGTTCATGAGAAATTCTTTGTTCACAGCTTGGCCCACTTATCAGCATCAGCTGATTTATCTCTTGCATTTTTCCTGTCACTCTGAACCGTGTAAACATTTACAGCACTGTGGAGAAGATAATCACTTGGTGTTAACTGGTGGAGCCACCTCTCATATCCGTACCTCTGAATAAAACAAAAAAGTAAGATATAGTTATAAAAACAATATCTTCTGGCATTTTGATTTTCTATAGCGCATTAACCAACATTTTATATTGTTTTTTATATATATATATATTAATATAC